AGCGGGGTGTGATCCTCATCTCTGGTTGGGTTTATATTTCTGTGACACTCTTGTCTCTGTGGGTGGATATAGCACACCAGACCAGGAATCAAGAAACATAATTCTGCTCATGACTTCCATGTTGCTAGTTTTCAGGTGTCTTGAATCCCTGTCTAAACACTCCGTGATATGGATAGAAGGCTATCAGTGGAAGGTGTGATGGAGAAGTTCCATCCAATCTCAGACACATCTGGAAGGGGTTAAAAAAAAACTAGCTGCCATCAGGTTGATTCTGACTCGCAGTAACTTTGTGTGCGTTATAGAGTAGAACTGTGCTCCACAGGGTTTTCAATGACTGATTTTTTGGAAGGAGATTGCCAGGCCTTTCTTCCAAGGCACCTCTGGGTGGACTTGAACCTCCAACCTTTTGGTTAGCAGCCAATTGTGTTAACCATTCGCACCACCCAGAGACTCCAAAAGATCTCTCCTTGTCCAGCTTCTTCCGTCTTACAGAGAAGACATTGAGAGCAGAAGGGAGAGAAGTCACTAACCCAGCAATGTACAGATGTCAGACCTAGGACTACAAACTGCTATTTTTGTTGCGAGGGTGGCTGCAGTTTTGAGGGGCAATTTGCCTTTTCCTGTGTGTCCCCAAGAGAGAAAATGAGGGCCCCGCATCCTCTTCCAACAAGGAGGCAGATGCCAGCTCATTTGAGGAAGCTCATCATAATCCTCAATATTATCTGAATTATAGATTGTCTAGAGAGGTACTGAGCTCCCTGTCGCAGGGGGCAGCCAAGTACGGGCTGCTTGAGCTCCATGAGGGGGTGTGATTGAAGAAGGCTCAACAACTACATTGCCTTTCTGACCCAAGGAGCCCGTGACCCCAGGCTCCAAGACCCCTGCCTCCTCATCTGGGAGAGGTGGAGAAGCAGGAAGGGAAGGAGCGGTGGCTTTCAGTGACAGAAAAAAGACTTCTGCCTAAAGAAGTCTCATTGCTGGCGTCAACCAAAGGTTTTGTGGGGTGTTCTCTGAAATGTAGGTCTGGGCCTCGTAATTTAACCATAGCCCCTGAGGAGGTGTCTAACTAGATGACAGGCCATTGCGCTTAGAGGATGTGACTGAACCACGTCAGGGGAAACGAGCCCAGGAAATGGGTGGGGATTGTCCGGGCCACTCAGCTGGAATCGACGGGGCAGATGAAAGTGCAGGAAATGATCCACAGCGCCACTGTGTGCTGCAGCCTGGACCTCTCCCTGGGTGAGGGGCTGTGTGCCCTCACTTTGTGGCATCCAGTGGACCGCAGAAAGGCGGGCTCTAGGGGGTCTCTTCCAGTGCGTGAAGGAGATCTGGATTCCTAGCCTGGCCCGGGCTCTCAATAGCTGTGTCCTTGGGCAAGTTCCTTCCCAGCTCTGAGTCAATTTTGATATCCGTGGAATGGGGGAAGTGGAGCTCATGCGGCCCCCACTTGGCGGGTCCATAAGCACTCTCTGAGAGCAGGTAGAAGATGGTCTTCACGCAGAGCTTGGGGAGGAAGTGGTTTGAATCCCACATCTTGATATACTGAGTGGGTTAGTCACTCTTTGCAATTTCTTCCTCTGCTTGGGGCTGGCCCAGACCGGATGTGGCTTCCTCTCTGGGTTTGTGCCTGCGTGCATGTATTAGCGCTCTGCCTTTCATTGACCCCTGAGGTCGGGTCCACCCTGGGAAGCCCAGGACTCTCTGTCCACCATGCTAAGCTGTTCTGGGTCCCAGCCAGGCATCCGTATTACTTAGGACGACCGCAGTGTGTGCTAATGGGGTGCATTCTCATACGAGTGGGAGAGGGATGGGGGTATTACCTCTGGAAAATTAAACAGTGGTCTAATTCACAGAAAATAAAACAAAATTAAGTAATTAATAGAATTCTCTTTCTTTTAATTTTATCTCCCCCAGATTTTCTTAAACCTTCGATGTCTGTGTCACCTCTATTTTAGAATCTGGTAGAATCCTTCATCTGGTTTAACACCAAATCAGCTAATATTTCTTTTTTTTCATTCTCTCTAGTCTCATCAGAGAGCACCTTCACTTCCAGACCCTCTGTCGCTGGAAAGATTTGAGACCCCCTGAGAACCACGGCTCCAGACAAAGATGTTTGGCTCTGTCCAAAGACTCTCTCATTGGGATCTTCTGTGTATCTCACCAACTGGAGACCCGTGGGCCTCATGGGGTCTGCAGATAGGTTTTACTTAACCTGAATTTTTTCAGTACTTGTAATAAAAACAAACAAATAACAACAACAACAAAAAAAACCCTTTGCCATCCAGTTGATTCTGCTCATAGCAACCCTATAGGATGAGTAGAACTGCCCCCTAGGGTTACCAAGGAGTGGCTGGTGGATTTGAACTCCCAAACTTTTGGTTAGTAGCTGAGCTCTTAACCACTGTGCCATTGGGCTCCAGTAATTGTAATAGTTGCCAGCATATTGTCATTTAAAACAAAAAAGTCTAGCCTTTCTTGAAAACTCAGGGAACCTGGCCACACAAGGCTTGGTTCCTGTGTGGCAGCCCCTGGCTGGAGCTGGCTGAGTCCCGGCCACCCTTTAGCCAGGGCCTGTTGGCATGGTCCCCACCCAGCCGGCCGCACTCATTTCCGTGACCTACCTGGCGTTTTCATTAGCAACCTATGCCCGACTCAGGCCTTATTTTCTAGATGAAGAAGTCATGGAGATGGACGCTCTGAGTGGATTTTTTCTTTTTCCAGCAGCTCAAGGCCCCATTGGCCAAAAACAGCTGGGCCAACAGGAGATACTGAGATGTTGCCCCTCCCCCCACCTGCCCCCCATCATGGAATGTGCCCTTCCCACCCCCAGCCATTGCATTTTCCCAGATTAAACATTCCAAGCCTACTGCAGCTTGCTTTCCACCCAGTGTCTGCGGTGCATTTTCTCCATCACGTCATTATAAGCTCCACATCTCCAGCTACCCAGGGTCTTGAAGGCAGAGCCCGCATTTCCTGACAGCCCCGGGGTGCTCAGACATGAGGTTTCCTTTGTTCGCTTTCCATATCCCCTGCTCTAGCCTTTGGTCTGGGTGCAGCTTGTCAACATTAAATAACCACTTCTTGTGGTTCCCTCATAACAATTCTTTAGATCTTGGGAGCCAGGCTGTGAGGCTCTGCATATGTATAGATCTAATTTTCACACAACAGGCTGCTTAGCAGATGGGGACCCAGACCAGTCTCCAACGTTTAGCTGCGAGTTAAGACATGGGAAGCTAGGTGGCTTTTAATCAGCCTGTGCTGCTGCCAGCACTCAACCTTAGAGAATTTTCACAGGGTAAAGAAAAAAAAAAAAAAAAAAACCCAAAAACAACACACACACAAAACCAACAAAACCACAGTTTTCCTTGCTCCCCGAAACCAGATGGCAGATGGTATGGAACCAATAAAACACAGATTCAAACGTTTGTTTATTTAACATTGAATGTAATATGGCTTTGTGGTCCCTTGCAAGGAAACGCCAGCCTTCCAACCAAAGAAATGATGGATTTGAGTCAAACCTCAGGGCAGCACTTGGAGTTCTTCCTAGGGGAGGCCCGTGTGCAGAGGGGCCAAGGAACATCAACCGCCAGACCTGAAGCCCCCTGGCCTGTTTGCCTCTCTAGTCGAAAGCCTAGGAGGTCTTCGTGAGCGCTGACTGACACTCGGTCTCTGCCGCTTGGCTTTTGTCATGGTTCAGTCCCGAAGGCAGCCAGCCACGTGAAGATTGTTCCTACCTCGTCTCTGAAACAGCTGTGGAAGATGTTGCTCCGAGCCATCAATGCAAAAGACAGCGAGAAAAAGGCTTGGGTGCTGGAGAAAACGTTGTCTTTCCTGGTGCTTTGGGTTTATGCTATCAGAAAATGGGAGCTTTGTAAGGCCATATAAACCAGAGACTCCGTCAGCCCGAAATCAGAAGAACTAGATGGTGCCTGGCTACCACCAATGACCGCCCTGACAGGGAACACAACAGAGAGTCCCTGATGGAGCAGGAGAAGAGCGGAGTGCAGAACTCAAATTCTAGTAAAAAGACCAGAGATAATGGTCTGACTTAGACTGGAGGGACCCCAGAAGACATGGCCCCCGGACTCTGTTAGCCCAGAACTAAAACCATTCCCAAAGCCAACTCTTCAGACAAAGATTAGACTAGACTACGGGACATAAAATGATACTCATGAAGAGTGTGCTTCTTAGTTCAAGTAGATACACGAGACTAAATGGGCGCCTCCTGCCTGGAGGTGAGATGAGAAGGCAGAAAGGGATAGGAGCTCGTTGAATGGACATGGGAAATCTGAGGTGGAAAGGAGGAGTGTGCTGTCACATTACAGGGATAATAACTAGGGTCACATAACAATGTGTGTATAAATTTTTGTATGAGAAACTAACTTGAGGTATAAACTTTCACTTAGAGCACCAAATAAAAAATAATAATAAAATTTTTTTTTAAAAAATGAGAGCTTTGTGCAGCAACCTAGTTATCTTTTTGCTTTGGCTTCCAAAGGACTCCAAGCTAAATTACATGCTCAGTTGAAGTAACTATGGTATTAGTTAAGTCTCTTTTTTTTTTTTTTAATTGTACTTTAGGTGAAAGTTTACAGAACAAATTAGTTTTTCATTAAACAATTAATGCACGAATTGTTTTCTGACATTGGTTGC